ACACTGGAACCTCCACCCTCGCTGCACTCTGGCGGGAGGCTGGTCCTGACGCCCAGCTGCCACTCTCTGGGATCCCCGCTGGCCCCCTGCCCTGACACGCTCCCCTGGGGCTCCCCTGGCCTTGACCAACCGGCGCGCCCTTCTGGGAACTCCTCTGATTCGCTGGAAAGACTCATAGGAATCTCTTGAGTCATTGTCATCCTCCTCCTGCTGTCCTGGGATCCATCCCCATCGCCCCCATCTCCTGCCTACTCCCAGCCTCTGTCCCTGAACCCTGACAGTCAGATTTTTCTGAAATCGTGCACCGGGGCTTAGGACTTTTTTGAAAAATCTTTTCTGCCGTAAAGTTTTCAAGGCTGAATTCTCGTCCTGTGATAAAAAGCTCTGTTTCGAACTGCCAAACCTCTCAGGGTGCAATGCAACCTTTGGAGCCACATTTTTGAGTGAATTGACCGAAAGTCATATTTTGATGAAATTGTGACGCTGGCCTTAGGACTTTTTTCAAAAAATCTTGTTTCTGCCGGTTACGGTGTCGAGGGGCTGATTTCTTCCTGTGATAAAAAGCCTTCTGTTTCGGACCGCCAAACCTCTCAATAGAGCATTTGCAACCGTTTGGCACCATTTTAGGTGAATTGTCGAAAGTCAGATTTTGATGAAATTCAGGACCTCGGGCTTAGGGATTTTTACAAAAATCTTTTCTGCCCATGAAGTTGTCGAGGGCTGATTTCTTGTCCTGTGATTAAAAAGACTTCTGTTTCGACGTGCCAAACCTCCTAGGGAGCATTTGCAACCGCTGGCACCATTTTGGAGTAAATCTGACAAAAGTCAGATTTTTATGAAATTGTGACCCCTGGGCTTAGAGATTTTTTCAAAAATCTTTTGGCCGGCTAAGTTGTCGAGGACTGATTTCTTTGTCCTGTGATAAAAGCTTCTGCTTCTGACCTCCAAACCTCTCAGTGGAGAATTTCCAACTGTTTGGAATCCTTTTGAACGAATTGCCAAAAGTCAGATTTTTCCTGGAAATTGCGACCCTGGGCTTTGGGATTATTTCAAAAACATTTTCTACCCATGGTTTTCGAGGGCTGATTTCTTGTCCTGTGATAAAGCTCACTCGTTTCGACCCAAACCTTCAGGGAGAATTTGCAAACCGTCTTGGCACCATTATTGAGCGAACTGCGAAAGTCAGATTTTTTCTGAAATTGTGACTCGGGGCTTAGGGATTTTTCAAAAAATTTTCTGCCCATGAAGTTGTCGAGGGCTGACTTTTGTACTGCTGATAAAAGCCTTCTGTTCTCTGACCACAAACCTCTCAGGGGAGCATTGAAACCATTCTGGCACCATTTTGAGTAAATTGACAAAGGTGAGATTTTTGATGAAATCAGACCTCGGGGTTAGGGAGATTTTTTCAAAAAATCTTTGGCCGGCTGGGCTGTGCTGAGGGCTGATTTCTTGTCCCAGGATAAAGCTTCTGTTTCTACGTCCAAACCTCTCAGGGAGAATTTGCAACCTGCTTGGCACCATTTGAGCTGAATCTGCCAAAAGTCAGATTTGGACTGAAATTCAGGCCACTGGGGCTTAGGGATTATTTAAAAAAAAAATTCTGCCAATGAAGTTGTCGAGGGCTGATTTCTTTGTCCTGTGATAAAAGCTCTGCTCTAACTGCCAAACCTCTCAGGGGGAGCATCTGGTAGCCGCTGGCACCATTTTTGAGCTAAATTGCCAAAGTCAGTTTTTTGCTGAAATTATGACCTCGAGCTTAGGGGATTTTTTTCAAAAAAAATTTTTCTCCCAGAGGTTTTCGAGGGCTGGTGATTTGTCCTGTGATAAAAGACTCTTGCTCCGACCGCCAAACCTCAATAGAGCATTTGCAACCGTTTGGCACCATTTTTGAGCGAATTGCCAAAAGTCAGATTTTTCTGAAATTGTGACCTCGGGCTTAGGGATTTTTTCAAAAGTTTTTTTTCTGCCCATAGTTTCGAGGGCTGATTTCTTTGTCCTGTGATAAAGCTGCCTGTTCCGACCACTAAACCTCTCAGGGGAGCATTTGCAACCGCTTGGCACCATTTCTTTTGAGCGAACTGCCTGAAAGTCAGATTTGTGATGAAATTGTGCCCCCGAGGCTGAGGTATTTTTTGACCAAAATCTTTTTTCTGCCGGTTAAGTTGTCGCGGGCTGATTTCTTGTCCCAGTGATAAAGCCTTCTGCCTCGACCGCCAAACCTCTCAGGGGAGCATTTGCAACCGCTTAGGCACCATTTTGAGTGAATTGCCGAAAGTCAGATTTTTGATGAAATTGTGATCCCGGGCTTAGGTATTTTTTGCAAAAACTTCTTTTCTGCCGGTTAGTTGTTCGAGGACTGATTTCTTGTCCTGTGATAAAAGCCTCTGTTTCTGACCGCCAAACCTCTCAGGGGAGCATTTGCAACCGTTTGGCACCATTTTTTGAGTGAATTGCCAAAAGTCAGACTTTTGCTGAAATCAGACCTCTGGGACTTAGGGATTTTTTCAAAAAATCTTTTTCTGCCTAAGGTAAGTTTGTCGAGGGCTGATTTCTTTTCCTGTGATAAAAGCCTTCTGTTTCGACTCCAAACCTCTCTAGGGGAGACATTTGCAAACCGTTTGGCACCATTTCTTGAGCGAATCTGCCGAAAGTCAGATTTTTGCTGAAATTGTGACCCCGGGCTTAGGGATTTTTTCAAAAGAATCTATTTCGCCCGTTAAGCTGTCGAGGGCTGATTTCTTATCCTGTGATAAAAAGCCTTCTGTTCTCGACCTGCCAAACCTCTCAAGGGGAGCATTTGCAACCGTTTAGCACCATTTTTGAGTGAATTGCAGAAAGTCAGACTTTTGATGAAATTGTGACCCTGGGCTTAGGGATTTTTTCAAAAATCTTTTTCTGCCGGTTAAGTTGTCGAGGGCTGATTTCTTGTCCTGTGATAAAAGCCTTCTGTTCTCGACCGCCAAACCCTCTCAGGGGAGCATTTGCAACCGTTTGGCACCATTTTTGAGTGAATTGACGAAAGTCAGATTTTTGATGAAATTGTGACTCTGGGCTTAGGGATTTTTTCTAAAAATCCTTCGCTGCCGGTTAAGTTGTCGAGGGCTGATTTCTTGTCCTGTGATAAAAAGCCTCTGTTTCAACCGCCAAACCTCTCAGCGGAGCATTTGCAACCGTTTGGCACCATTTTTGAGTGAATTGCCGAAAGTCAGATTTTTGATGAAATTGTGACCCCGGGGCTTGGGGATTTTTTCAAAAAAGTCTTTTTCTGCCGGTTAAGTTGTCGAGGGCTAATTTCTTGTCCTGTGATAAAAAGCCTTCTGTTTCGTCCCCAAACCTCTCAGGGGAGCATTTGCAACCGTTTGGCACCATTTCTGAGTGAATTGCCGAAAGTCAGATTTTTGATGAAATTGTGACCCCGGGCCTTAGGGATTTTTTCAAAAAAATCTTTTTCTGCCGGGTAAGTTGTCGAGGGCTGATTTCTTTTCCTGTGATAAAAAGCCTTCTGTTTCGACCGCCAAACCTCTCAGGGGAGCATTTGCAACCGTTTGGCACCATTTCTGAGTGAATTGCCGAAAGTCAGATTTTTGATGAAATTGTGACCCCGGGGCTTAGGGATTTTTTCAAAAAAAATCTTTTTCTGCCAGTTCAGTTGTCGAGGGCTGATTTCTTGTCCTGTGATAAATAGCCTCTGTTTCGACCGCCAAACCTCTCAGGGGAGCATTTGCAACCATTTGGCCCCATTTTTGAGTGAATTGCCGAAAGTCAGATTTTTGATGAAATTGTGACCCCGGGCTTAGGGATTTTTTCAAAAAAAATCTTTTTCTGCCGGTTAAGTTGTCGAGGGCTGATTTCTTTTCCTGTGATAAAAAGCCTTCTGTTTCGACCGCCAAACCTCTCAGGGGAGCATTTGCAACCGTTTGGCACCATTTTTGAGTGAATTGCCGAAAGTCAGATTTTTGCTGAAATTGTGACTCCTGGGACTGCTTAGGGATTTTTTCAAAAATCTTTTCTGCCGGTTAAGTTGTCGAGGGCTGATTTCTTTTCCTGTGATCTCAGGGGAGCATTTGCAACCGATAGGCACCATTTTTGAGTGAATTGCCGAAAGTCAGATTTTTGCTGAAATTGTGACCCCGGGGCTTAGGGATTTTTTCAAAAAAAAATTTTTCTGCCGGTTAAGTTGTCGAGGGCTGATTTCTTTGCCTGTGATAAATAGCCTTTTGTTTCGACCGCCAAACCTCTCAGGGGAGCAATTGCAACCGTTTTGCACCATTTTTGAGTGAATTGCCGAAAGTCAGATTTTTGATGAAATTGTGACCCCGGGCTTAGGGATTTTTTCAAAAAATCTTTTTCTGCCGGTTGTTGTCGAGGGCTGATTTCTTGTCCTGTGATAAAAGCCTTCTGTTTCGACCGCCAAACCTCTCAGGGGAGCATTTGCAACCGTTTGGCACCATTTTTGAGTGAATTGCCGAAAGTCAGATTTTTGATGAAATTGTGACCCCGGGCTTAGGGATTTTTTCAAAAATCATTTTCTGCCGGTTAAGTTGTCGAGGGCTGATTTCTTTTCCTGTGATAAAATGCCTTCTGTTTCGACCGCCAAACCTCTCAGGGGAGCATTTGCAACCGTTTGGCACCATTTTTGAGTGAATTGCCGAAAGTCAGATTTTTGATGAAATTGTGACCCCTGGGCTTAGGGATTTTTTCAAAAATCTTTTCTGCCGGTTAAGTTGTCGAGGGCTGATTTCTTGTCCCGTGATAAATAGCCTCTGTTTCGACCGCCAAACCTCTCAGGGGAGCATTTGCAACCGTTTGGCACCATTTTTGAGTGAATTGCCGAAAGTCAGATTTTTGATGAAATTGTGACCCCGGGGCTTAGGGATTTTTTCAAAAATCTTTTTCTGCCGGTTAAGTTGTCGAGGGATGATTTCTTTTCCTGTGATAAAAAGCCTTCTGTTTCGACCGCCAAACCTCTCAGGGGAGCATTTGTAACCGTAGGTACCATTTTTGAGTGAATTGCCGAAAGTCAGATTTTTGCTGAAATTGTGACCCCGGGGCTTAGGGATTTTTTTCAAAAAAAATCTTTTTCTGCCGGTGAAGTTGTCGAAGGCTGATTTCTTGTCCTGTGATAAAAGCCTTCTGTTTCGACCGCCAAACCTCTCAGGGGAGCATTTGCAACCGTTTGGCACCATTTTTGAGTGAATTGCCGAAAGTCAGATTTTTGCTGAAATTGTGACCCCGGGCTTAGGGATTTTTTCAAAAAATCTTTTCTGCCGGTTAAGTTGTCGAGGGCTGATTTCTTTTCCTGTGATAAAAGCCTTCTGTTTCGACCGCCAAACCTCTCAGGGGAGCATTTGCAACCGTTTGGCACCATTTTTGAGTGAATTGCCGAAAGTCAGATTTTTGCTGAAATTGTGACCCCGGGCTTAGGGATTTTTTCAAAAAATCTTTTTCTGCCGGTTAAGTTGTCGAGGGCTGATTTCTTGTCCTGTGATAAAAGCCTTCTGTTTCGACCGCCAAACCTCTCAGGGGAGCATTTGCAACCGTTTGGCACCATTTTTGAGTGAATTGCCGAAAGTCAGATTTTTGCTGAAATTGTGACCCCGGGCTTAGGGATTTTTTCAAAAAATCTTTTTCTGCCGGTTAAGTTGTCGAGGGCTGATTTCTTTGTCCTGTGATAAAAAAGCCCTCTGTTTCGACCGCCAAACCTCTCAGGGGAGCATTTGCAACCGTTTGGCACCATTTTTGAGTGAATTGCCGAAAGTCAGATTTTTGCTGAAATTGTGACCCCGGGGCTTAGGGATTTTTTCAAAAAATCTATTTCTGCCGGTGAAGTTGTCGAGGGCTGATATCTTTTCCTCTGATAAAAGCCTTCTGTTTCGACCGCCAAACCTCTCAGCGGAGCGTTTGCAACCGTTTGGCACCATTTTTGAGTGAATTGCCGAAAGTCAGATTTTTGATGAAATTGTGACCCCGGGCTTAGGGATTTTTTCAAAAAAATCTTTTTCTGCCGGTTAAGTTGTCGAGGGCTGATTTCTTGTCCTGTGATAAAAAGCCTTCTGTTTCGACCGCCAAACCTCTCAGGGGAGCATTTGCAACCGTTTGGCACCATTTTTGAGTGAATTGCCGAAAGTCAGATTTTTGCTGAAATTGTGACCCCAGGGCTTAGGGATTTTTTCAAAAATCTTTTTCTGCCGGTTAAGTTGTCGAGGGCTGATTTCTTGTCCTGTGATAAAAGCCTTCTGTTTCGACCGCCAAACCTCTCAGGGGAGCATTTGCAACCGTTTGGCACCATTTTTGAGTGAATTGCCGAAAGTCAGATTTTTGATGAAATTGTGACCCCGGTGCTTAGGGATTTTTTCAAAAAATCTTTTTCTGCCGGTTAAGTTGTCGAGGGCTGATTTCTTTTCCTGTGATAAAAGCCTTCTGTTTCGACCGCCAAACCTCTCAGGGGACCATTTGCAACCGTTTGGCACCATTTTTGAGTGAATTGCCGAAAGTCAGATTTTTGATGAAATTGTGACCCCGGGCTTAGGGATTTTTTCAAAAAATCTTTTTCTGCCGGTTAAGTTGTCGAGGGCTGATTTCTTTTCCTGTGATAAAAGCCTTCTGTTTCGACCGCCAAACCTCTCAGGGGAGCATTTGCAACCGTTTGGCACCATTTTTGAGTGAATTGCCGAAAGTCAGATTTTTGCTGAAATTGTGACCCCGGGGCTTTGGGATTTTTTCAAAAATCTTTTTCTGCCGGTTATGTTGTCGAGGGCTGATTTCTTGTCCTGTGATAAAAAGCCTTCTGTTTCGACCGCCAAACCTCTCAGGGGAGCATTTGCAACCGTTTGGCACCATTTTTGAGTGAATTGCCGAAAGTCAGATTTTTGCTGAAATTGTGACCCCGGGGCTTAGGGATTTTTTCAAAAAAATCTTTTTCTGCCGGTTAAGTTGTCGAGGGCTGATTTCTTTTCCTGTGATAAAAGCCTTCTGTTTCGACCGCCAAACCTCTCAGGGGAGCATTTGCAACCGTTTGGCACCATTTTTGAGTGAATTGCCGAAAGTCAGATTTTTGCTGAAATTGTGACCCCGGGGCTTAGGGATTTTTTCAAAAATCTTTTTCTGCCGGTTAAGTTGTCGAGGGCTGATTTCTTGTCCTGTGATAAAAGCCTTCTGTTTCGACCGCCAAACCTCTCAGGGGAGCATTTGCAACCGTTTGGCACCATTTTTGAGTGAATTGCCGAAAGTCAGATTTTTGATGAAATTGTGACCCCGGGGCTTAGGGATTTTTTCAAAAAATCTTTTTCTGCCGGTTAAGTTGTCGAGGGCTGATTTCTTGTCCTGTGATAAAAAGCCTTCTGGTTCGACCGCCAAACCTCTCAGGGGAGCATTTGCAACCGTTTGGCACCATTTTTGAGTGAATTGCCGAATGTCAGCTTTTTGCTGAAATTGTGACCCCGGTGCTTAGGGATTTTTTCATATAAATCATTTTCTGCTGGTTAAGTTGTCGAGGGCTGATTTCTTGTCCTGTGATAAAAGCCTTCTGTTTCGACCGCCAAACCTCTCAGGGGAGCATTGGCAACCGTTTGGCACCATTTTTGAGTGAATTGCCGAAAGTCAGATTTTTGATGAAATTGTGACCCCGGTGTTAGGGATTTTTTCAAAAAAATCTTTTTCTGCCGGTTAAGTTGTCGAGGGCTGATTTCTTTTCCTGTGATAAGAAGCCTTCTGTTTCGACCGCCAAACCTCTCAGGGGAGCATTTGCAACCGTTTGGCACCATTTTTGAGTGAATTGCTGAAAGTCAGATTTTTGCTGAAATTGTGACCCCGGGGCTTAGGGATTTTTTTCAAAACAATATTTTTCTGCCGGTTAAGTTGTCGAGGGCTGATTTCTTTTCCTGTGATAAAAGCCTTCTGTTTCGACCGCCAAACCTCTCAGGGGAGCATTTGCAACCGTTTGGCACCATTTTTGAGTGAATTGCCGAAAGTCAGATTTTTGCTGAAATTGTGACCCCGGGCTTAGGGATTTTTTCAAAAATCTTTTCTGCCGGTTAAGTTGTCGAGGGCTGATTTCTTTTCCTGTGATAAAAGCCTTCTGTTTCGACCGCCAAACCTCTCAGGGGAGCATTTGCAACCGTTTGGAACCATTTTTGAGTGAATTGCCGAAAGTCAGATTTTTGCTGAAATTGTGACCCCGGGCTTAGGGATTTTTTCAAAAATCTTTTTCTGCCGGTTAAGTTGTCGAGGGCTGATTTCTTGTCCTGTGATAAAAGCCTTCTGTTTCGACCGCCAAACCTCTCAGGGGAGCATTTGCAACCGTTTGGCACCATTTTTGAGTGAATTGCCGAAAGTCAGATTTTTGCTGAAATTGTGACCCTGGGCTTAGGGATTTTTTCAAAAAATCTTTTCTGCCGGTTAAGTTGTCGAGGGCTGATTTCTTGTCCTGTGATAAAAGCCTTCTGTTTCGACCGCCAAACCTCTCAGGGGAGCATTTGCAACCGTTTGGCACCATTTTTGAGTGAATTGCCGAAAGTCAGATTTTTGCTGAAATTGTGACCCCGGGCTTAGGGATTTTTTCAAAAATCTTTTTCTGCCCGTTAAGTTGTCGAGGGCTGATTTCTTGTCCTGTGATAAACAGCCTTCTGTTTCGACCGCCAAACCTCTCAGGGGAGCATTTGCAACCGTTTGGCACCATTTTTGAGTGAATTGCCGAAAGTCAGATTTTTGATGAAATTGTGACCCCGGGGCTTAGGGATTTTTTCAAAAAATCTTTTCTGCCGGTTAAGTTGTCGAGGGCTAATTTCTTTTCCTGTGATAAAAAGCCTTCTGTTTCGACCGCCACACCTCTCAGGGGAGCATTTGCAACCGTTTGGCACCATTTTTGAGTGAATTGCCGAAAGTCAGATTTTTGCTGAAATTGTGACCCCGGGGCTTAGGGATTTTTTCAAAAAATCTTTTTCTGCCGGTTAAGTTGTCGAGGGCTGATTTCTTTTCCTGTGATAAAAGCCTTCTGTTTCGACCGCCAAACCTCTCAGGGGTGCATTTGCAACCGTTTGGCACCATTTTTGAGTGAATTGCCGAAAGTCAGATTTTTGCTGAAATTGTGACCCCGGGCTTAGGGATTTTTTCAAAAATCTTTTTCTGCCGGTTAAGTTGTCGAGGGCTGATTTCTTGTCCTGTGATAAAAGCCTTCTGTTTCGACCGCCAAACCTCTCAGGGGAGCATTTGCAACCGTTTGGCACCATTTTTGAGTGAATTGCCGAAAGTCAGATTTTTGCTGAAATTGTGACCCCGGGGCTTAGGGATTTTTTCAAAATATCTTTTTCTGCCGGTGAAGTTGTCGAGGGCTGAGTTCTTTTCCTGTGATAAAAGCCTTCTGTTTCGACCGCCAAACCTCTCAGGGGAGCATTTGCAACCGTTTGGCACCATTTTTGAGTGAATTGCCGAAAGTCAGATTTTTGCTGAAATTGTGACCCCGGGGCTTAGGGATTTTTTCAAAAAATCTTTTTCTGCCGGTGAAGTTGTCGAGGGCTGATTTCCTTTCCTGTGATAAATAGCCTTCTGTTTCGACCGCCAAACCTCTCAGGGGAGCATTTGCAACCGTTTGGCACCATTTTTGAGTGAATTGCCGAAAGTCAGATTTTTGATGAAATTGTGACCCCGGGGCTTAGGGATTTTTTCAAAAATCTTTTTCTGCCGGTTAAGTTGTCGAGGGCTGATTTCTTTTCCTGTGATAAAAAGCCTTCTGTTTCGACCGCCAAACCTCTCAGGGGAGCATTTGCAACCGTTTGGCACCATTTTTGAGTGAATTGCCGAAAGTCAGATTTTTGCTGAAATTGTGACCTCGGGGCTTAGGGATTTTTTCAAAAAATGATTTTCTGCCCGTTAAGTTGTCGAGGGCTGATTTCTTGTCCTGTGATAAAAGCCTTCTGTTTCGATCGCCAAACCTCTCAGGGGAGCATTTGCAACCGTTTGGCACCATTTTTGAGTGAATTGCCGAAAGTCAGATTTTTGCTGAAATTGTGACCCCGGGGCTTAGGGATTTTTTCAAAAAATCTTTTTCTGCCGGTTAAGTTGTCGAGGGCTGATTTCTTTTCCTGTGATGAAAGCCTTCTGTTTCGACCGCCAAACCTCTCCGGGGAGCATTTGCAACCGTTTCGCACCATTTTTGAGTGAATTGCCGAAAGTCAGATTTTTGCTGAAA